GGGTCACGTGATTACTTTTGTCGCAGAATTGTTACAGCAGCAACTATGGCACATGAAAAATAGCAAGAAGCAGCAAATCTGTGTTTAAAAGACAGTTCTAACCTTCAAGCGACAGGACCTCAAACGTGCTTAACCAATTAAGGTGCATATTATGAAACTGTTTGGAATGAATTTTCATCAGAATTATTCAATTATTTTCTATATTTCTATTGTGTTTTCTAGGAAAGACAGAATAATTCCGAGTTATGGCTTCAAAAAAATATTACAATTGGTTACTAAATTGTAACAAATTTATTTATGAACGTAAAGTCGAATTTGAAAATAATGCAGTTGTTGCAATTGCTATGAAAAGAATGCTATTACTGTGAAACACAGGACGATGTTTGCCATCGTCGGCGATGTACTGCGGTAGTACGTCGCACTATTACAGTGCTGCCACATTACATAGTACAACGTTTGAGCGTTAACTTTGTAGTTGAAACTGTTCAGACTACAAAATTTTAGCCGCTGAAATAAGAGCGACAGATCTGTCGCTCCACTTGCTTATTTCAGCAGCACGTGAAATTGCACCTTAAGGCTGGATTCACATGGAGCGTAAGTTGCGTAGCGTAACCTGCGTATCGCCAATCACAGGACTAGTTCAACGGAATTATTGAAACGGTTCTATCAGAATGACCCTGTGATTGGTGATACGCAGGGTGCTTTCCAGCAACGTACACAGGCGACACTATGTAACACAGTGTACGACCCAGTGCTTTCCAACTACGACACAAGTCGACACAAGCGTACACAGCTAAAATGCTGTGTTCGCATTTTTGTGTCACTCCATGGATACCAACATTTTTACATATACCATTTATTTTTTTCCGGTGTGGTATTCCGGTAGGAAAATTTTTAAGGTTATATTCGGAACAATTCAGATACACTATTTTCTGTGCATATACACCGGAAAATTTAAGGCTTGTTTTCTGTTGCTGCACTGGTGAACTAGTGCAATAAGTTAGAGTAGGACAAGTATATTTTTTCTCATTCTAGCTTACTAGTTCACCAGTGCAGCAATAGAAAACAAGTCTTCAGAGACAAATTATTAAAGTGAATGCCCTGCACTCTGGCGGTGAAATAAAAAAGCTAAACAGCGTTTCAGCTACAAGTCGACACTGTGTAACATTAGGCTTGTTTTCTGTTCCTACACTAGTGAACTAGTGCAATAAATTGGAGTAAGACAAGCATATTTTTTCTCATTCTAGCTTACTGCACTAGTTCACCAGTGCAGGAACAGAAAACAAACCCATTGTGTCACACAGTGTATGACCACAGTATAACCAGTATGCCCACTCTCTGTCGGCACTTTTGATCTGGGCGTTCTCAATTTTCCGCCATGTTTTTAATCGCCCCAACAGTGTATTAACGGATAAAAGTGCCTGGGCCCTTTTCAGGATCGTATCCAGGAAAGGCGCGTACGAACTAGCGTACATTATTTATTGTAAATGGAAATGGCCTATGAAAAAATGTTCTAATAAAAGTAATTAATGTAATTACTTGCTCCAACGTATAAAAGTATTAACGCGTTATTCGTCAACACAGCAAATTTTTCAATGTCACACCGACTGTGCACTAACACATGTACAAAAATCCTGTGATTGGTCATAACTAAAACATGTCGGATGCGCAATACGGATCGGCGCGAACGTGAAACAAAAGAGCGAGTGCCACTACTGGTTATACTGTAGTTATAGCTTCATGGACACAGGCCTTTAATCTGGAACGTTTATCACAGTTTATCACCACCGTGTGTGTCTGTGTGTGTGTGTGTGTGTGTGTGTGTGTCTGTGTGTGTGTGTGTGTCTGTGTGTGTCTGTGGCTGCGTGTCTGAGTGTGCCTGTGTGTGTGACTGTGTGTGTCTGTGTGTGTCTGTGTGTGTCTGTGTGTGTCTGTGCGTGTCTGTGTGTCTGTGTGTGTCTGTGTGAGTTTCTGTGTGCGTGTCTGTGTGTGTGTGTGTCTGTGTGTGTCTGTGTCTGTGTGTCTGTGTCTGAGTCTGTGTGTGTGTGTCTGTGGGTGCGTGTCGCGCGGGGACTGCCTGTAAGTAAAA